AGGTTCTCTCCTCTCCTCGGCCAAGCTCAGTTTACCCACAGCTCCTGAGCATGGCGGGTGCAGGAAGCCTCCCCTCAGCCCCAGGGATGCCCCATCTTCACTCCACACAATTCCAGCATGGGGGCCACTCAGCCAGGCCTCTCCTCAGAGAAGTTCTGACCCGGCCGGAACAGGATGTGTGCTGTTCTAGGATCCCAGCTGGTGGAGACCTTATGCCCATTTTCTAGGCTGTGACAGTGAGGTCTAGAGTGAGCACCGGGCTTGCCCAAGTTCTAGAACAAGTGAAAAGAAAAAAAAAAAATCCCTTCCACTTCCCAGACACTGAGGCCAGAAGCCTTGTTCAAGGTACAACAGTGAGGCAGGGGGGCTTTGAGCAACAGTTGTCCGACTGTCTTGGGACGGGGCCAGCCCCATTTGGCTTCGGCTCCTGTCAGCGCCGCCCCCTGAGTCCTGGGTGGGCGGCCCGGTCTGGGTGCCGGATGCCTCTGGGTTCTGGGAGTTTGGAGGCAGCATCTTCACCAAACCGCCTTCGGGTCGGGGACGGATAGTGGAGGCGGCGGGCAGGGATGAGAGGCAAGGGGCCGCGCCAGGGCTGGGACGGGGCCAGCGGATCAGAGTCCGCCTCACCAGCAGGGGCCCCTCCAGCGCCCCGCTGCCTCATCAGGGCCTTGGCTGGGGTGTCCTTGGAGCCCCAGCACTTCTTGAGCTGTGGAGGGGAAGAGTGGGGTCGGTGACTCAGAAGCCTCTCCCAGAGGCAAAGGTGGGGGCAGGGAGGCCAGCACTGGGCACCTGACCCCCCCAGGGTCAGGGTGCTGCGGCCCAGACTCCTGGATCCTTGGGGAGCAGAGCGATGCAGACCAGGACCCCTGGGTCCTTGGGGAGGAGGGTGCTGGGGCCCCGGACTCCTGGGTCTGAGGGAGTAGGGGGCCAGGTCTGGACTCCTGGGTCTCCCACGAGACTGTGGAAATGCAAGTTTCTGGCATGAAGCGGCTTTATTCTGAGCAGAGGTAAAAGGCAGCCCTAACAGCTCACCCGTTAGTGCCCACAAAACAGTTCCAGCACCTGCTGGGTCCCTCTCCATGGCCCTCACCTGTTCCCCAACAGGTGTGTCCTCACCAATTTCTAGTCCCTCATGATTCAGCTCAGGTTCTCTCCTCTCCTCGGCCAAGCTCAGTTTACCCACAGCTCCTGAGCATGGCGGGTGCAGGAAGCCTCCCCTCAGCCCCAGGGATGCCCCATCTTCACTCCACACAATTCCAGCATGGGGGCCACTCAGCCAGGCCTCTCCTCAGAGAAGTTCTGACCCGGCCGGAACAGGATGTGTGCTGTTCTAGGATCCCAGCTGGTGGAGACCTTATGCCCATTTTCTAGGCTGTGACAGTGAGGTCTAGAGTGAGCACCGGGCTTGCCCAAGTTCTAGAACAAGTGAAAAGAAAAAAAAAAAATCCCTTCCACTTCCCAGACACTGAGGCCAGAAGCCTTGTTCAAGGTACAACAGTGAGGCAGGGGGGCTTTGAGCAACAGTTGTCCGACTGTCTTGGGACGGGGCCAGCCCCATTTGGCTTCGGCTCCTGTCAGCGCCGCCCCCTGAGTCCTGGGTGGGCGGCCCGGTCTGGGTGCCGGATGCCTCTGGGTTCTGGGAGTTTGGAGGCAGCATCTTCACCAAACCGCCTTCGGGTCGGGGACGGATAGTGGAGGCGGCGGGCAGGGATGAGAGGCAAGGGGCCGCGCCAGGGCTGGGACGGGGCCAGCGGATCAGAGTCCGCCTCACCAGCAGGGGCCCCTCCAGCGCCCCGCTGCCTCATCAGGGCCTTGGCTGGGGTGTCCTTGGAGCCCCAGCACTTCTTGAGCTGTGGAGGGACAGAGCGGGAGGTGAGAGGAGGCTCTTGGGAGCCCAGAGGAGGAAGGAGGTGAGACCGGAGGGAGGTGATGACGGAGGGGAGGGTGTGAAACTCCGAGAGGGGTCTCCAGAACCAGGAGGGAAGTGAGTGGGGAGGCCAGGGACGCCCAGACCTACAGAAGGGGCAAGGAGCTGCATCCCCACGCGCAGCTTTGCAGTGGGGGAGGAACAGGAAGCAGCCGGCAGCTTCATGGGGGGAGCAAATATTTGCCAAGGGAGTTGATGCTGGGTGAGGGCGGCTCAGGATTGGGGAGAAGTGAGGGCCTGGCCCTTGCCCATCCCTCTTGACCCGGGTGGAGGGAGGTGATTCCTGGGACTTTCTCCCTCACCCTCCAGAGAGTCCTTGAGCTCCCACTTAGCAGATGGGGAAACTGAGGCTCAGAGGGGGCACAGCTCACAGAGGAACTGACCCCAGGTCTGTCTGGATCCAAGGAGAATCCACCGGTTTCTCCCACGTGGCTCTGCTCTTACCCTCTCCATAGCCCACTTCACAGCCGAGGACACTGAGGCCCCGCCCAGGGCTCCCCAGAGAACTGGGGCAGGCTCTGCTGGAACCCCAGTGTCTAAGCAGCTGGGGGAAGGGAGGGGAGACCCCCCTGACCTTCCCTAATCCCCTCCCAATACCCCTAGCACACTCGAATCCAGGAAGCCAGCAAGCAGAGCATTTAAAAGTCTTGCCTGGGAGGCAACCGGGGCTAAGGTCCAATTCCTCGTTGGTGCCTCAGTTTCCCCATCTGTGAAATGGGTGGGTGGAGAGCTGTAATCACATCTACCTCATAGGGTTACATTTAACCACCTCTGTGAAAACGCTTGGCATGGGGCCTGGCACGTGGCAAGGTGCCCTCAAAAGATCATTGCTTTGACTTGGGCAAGTTAAACACAACCTCTCTGAGCCTCAGCTTTCCCATCCATAAAAGTGAGCGTAATAAGAGTATCGCTTCATTGCCCTGGGAGGATATCAGGAAATCAAAATAAATTCCATTTTAGGAATTTATTGTAATGATGGTGATTATTCTATTTCTTTTGATTTCATTGACTCCTCCTCCCAAGCAAACTGAGGATGGGGACACTAGCTCAGCCCATTTCCTTGATGAGAACACTGAGGTTCAGAGAAGGCATTTCTCCCCCTCCCATGCCCGGGACTCTCACCGTTGGTGTATCTTGCCAGGTTTCACACCCAGGGCTCTCGGGGTCTCTGCCCAGTGTTACCAGGCGCTCCCCTGCCCAGCACACAGTAGGTATACAGGAAGTGGATGATGCAGTTATGAACGCAGGGGAGCAGTTTTGCTTTTCCCCGCCCCACCCCACCCCCGGGGCCAGGCGCATCGCAGGCCCTCACATGCCTCTTTCCTCTTCCAGCTATTCTCTCTCAGGCCAGCCACCAGGTCTCACCTCATTGTCACCGTCACTAGAGCCTGACAGCTGGGACAGGCGGCTCAGGTCCCATAGGGAGCGGCTGGGCTGGGCCAGGGGGCCACTGGGGGTCCGGGCACGCTGTACACTCCTCAGGATGTCGCTAAGAGCTGGCCCTGGCTTGGCCAGGGTCTCCTGCCTGTCCCCCTCGAAGACTCGGCAGGTGGCCAGGCGTTGGGCCAGCGAGCCATCAGGCAGTGGTGGCGGCGACAGGGGGGCCACGGAGCAGCGGCGGGCCACGCGATGCGGGCTGTAGGCCAGCTGCCCCCCCCCCCCAGGGCTCTGACAAAGGGACCCGGGGTGGGCACGGGCGGGGGCGGCCAGGAGGCCGCATAGAGTGTCCGGAACTCTCGGCTGAAGGCATCGGCGATCTCACCGGTCAGCAGGGTCACCAGACCACGGTGCAGGCGTGAGTCACTCCATGTGAAGCTGGGGGGCACAGAGGTGGGGGTCAGGATCTCCAAGCAGCCCCAGAAGCCTGGTCTGGCCCCCATCACCAGGCCCCAACCTGGTCCCAGGGCGGGCTCTGTGACCTCCGCCAAGTCCTGCCATCCCTCTGGCCTCAACATGCACCTCTGTAGAATGGGAACAATGAAGTACCTACCCCAGAGGGTTGATGTGAAGACAATATCAGTTAACATACTTAAATGATCATCTGGAATCAGACTCGAGTTTAAACCTGGCCTCTGCCCTGTCCCCATGGAGGGATGCCTCAGTTTCTCCCTCTGGAGAGAGATGGGATTCTGACACCCTCAGGGACTGAAGACTCAGCTGCTTCCTACAATGATTGCCATTTATTAAGTGCTTGCTGTGTGCCAGGCTCTAGGTGTGCCTGGTCCCTGCCTCAGTTTGTTCATCTGTAATATGGAGCTAAAAGGTAGGAAGATTAGAATCAGAGAACATGGGTCAGGCCTCATGCCCGGGGCCTGGTAGGTGCCCAGCATTAAAAGCCTGTGAGCCATGGTGAGCTGTGCCCTTACTATCCCTGTGACCACAGTGGTTGTGATTTAAAGCATTGAGCACAAGTCTTGGTACACAGCAGGTGCTCAGTAAATGCTCTCTTTTGAATTAAATGAACCTGGACTCTTGTCCTGGCTCAGGGGACCTTGGACATATCAATTTTACTTCCTGAGCTTCATTCGGTTTGCCCATCGGAAAAACAGGCTCGCCCTGGGCTGTGTATCTTGCACTCGGCGGGACAGCACCCAGCGCCCAGCAGAGCCAATCAGTTCGCAGCCGAGATGATGAAAGTTGATCTGAGCTTCCTTACCTAGGTGGAGTGGCAGTGTCCGTGCTCCCGAGCAGGTCAGCCGGCCAGCCTGCCCCTCAGATTGTGACACCCCTCCCCCACCTATGACCTCACCCCCAGAGCAGTCAGTGGGAACCCTGGGTGGGGTCTGTGAGGTCACCCCATTCCGCTCCACAAAGTCTCTTGTCAGGCAGCGCCACTGGCTCATCTCCGTCCCGGGGGAGTTTCTGAGACCCAAGGACTGGAAAGCTGTGGTCACAGCGGAGCTTCCAAGAGGGATGCGGAGCATTGGGAACCAAGGACACACCAGGTGCTGATCCTGGGAGAGCAGAACCAGGGGTACAAGCATTGCGGGCGTGAGGAGTGCCATTCAGCAGTTCCGGGAGGCCCAGGAAGCCTACTGCCTGGCTTGGGCACCGTCACCGCTGCCAGGCCACCATGGTCCTCGGCTGGCTGCTGCTTCTGGTGATGGCTCTGCCCCCAGGCACGATGGGCACCAAGGACTGCGTCTTCTGTGAGCTGACCGACTCCATGATCTGTCCCGGCACCCACATGCGCTGTGGCGATGACGAGGACTGTTTCACGGGCCATGGGGTGGCCCCCGGCATCAGCCCCATCATCAACAAAGGCTGCGTGCAGGCCACCTCGTGTGGCCACGAGGAGCCCGTCAGCTACATGGGTGTCACCTACAGCCTCACCACCGACTGCTGCACCGGCCACCTGTGTAACGGGGCCCCCCACCCCACAGGCGGCCAGATGGCACGGGCCAGCACCGGCCTGGCGCTGGGCGTGCTGCAATTGCTCCGACATTTGCTGTGACCAACCTGGAGGGCAGGGCCCAGGACTGGTCTCCCGCCTGCGCTGCCCCCCATGCCCCCTGCCTCCATCCCCTTCCCCTATCAAATGGCCAGAGGCCCTGGACAACCCCTTGTGGCCCTGGCCTCATCCATTCCAGGGCTGTCACCAGAGCCCAGTGCTCAGCGAAGCATCCTCAGGCCTGATTTAGTGGTGGGGAACCATGCCCTATGGGTTTGACTGTACTATTGTATTTCATTGGTTCTAAGACGCGTATCTTTTCACATTTTGATCAGGATGCTTCTTTGCTCTGGTGGCACCTTAGAGTCTATGAAATATGGTAAAAAACAAATAATAATAAACAACAGCTGACGTTTATGGAGCACTTCTTACGTTCCATGCCAGGCATCATTATCTCATTGAATCCCCAAGTGAAGCTGGGAACGTGGATTCTCTTCAAAACCTCCCAGTCTCGGGAATTCCCTGGCGGTTCAGTGGTTAGGACTCTGTGCTTTCATTGCCAAGGGCCTAGGGTTCAATCCCTGGTTGGGGAACTAAGATCCCGCAAGCTGCGTGTTGCAGACAAAAAAAAGAAAAAGAGGGCTTCCCTGGTGGCGCAGTGGTTGAGAATCTGCCTGCTGATGCAGGGGACACGGGTTCGAGCCCTGGTCTGGGAAGATCCCACATGCCGCGGAGCAACTAGGCCCGTGAGCCACAACTACTGAGCCTGCGCGTCTGGAGCCTGTGTTCCGCAACAAGAGAGGCTGCGATGAAGAGTGGCCCCCGCTCGCCGCAACTAGAGAAAGTCCTCGCACAGCAACGAAGACCCAACACAGAATAAATAAATAAATAGATAGATAGATAGATAGATAGATAGATAGATTAAAAAGCCAAGCAAAGGTAATCAAGTGGGCACTTCTGCCTCTCAGGGGGCACCGGGCAAAGTCTGGAGACGGTTTGCGTAGTTGTACTTGGGGAGGGGGGAGCGCTACCAGCATCTCCTGGGTAGAGGGCAGTTCAGCCCAGGGAAGCCCCCCCACAGCACAGAGTCATCCGGCTCCGAATGTGAGTAGTACCTCTGTTGAGAAACCTTGCTGTAGACGCACTAACTGAACCATCCCATTGTCTAGAGGGCGAAACTGGGGCACAAAGAGGGGAAGTCAGTTATGCAAAGTCACACAGCCAGTAACTGTCCGAGCTAGGATTTGACCCCAGGCCATCTGACCCGGAGTCCACGTGCCCCCTGACATGCTGTTCCCAGGAAGTAAATGCTGCTATTTTCACACTTTCCAGATGGGAAAACTGAGGTTCAGAGTGGGGAAGACCCAATGTCACAGAACTAAGAAGTCACAGAGCCAGGTTCCAGGATCAATCAGACCCCAAAGGGAGCAGAGGAGGGATGTGAGATGGTCTGAGGGCTGGGCCATTTGCATACCAGCTCTGATTTTTGTACAGATGCTCAGAGAGGTGGAGTTACTCACCCAAGGCAGAGCTCAGACTTCAATCCAGGTCGCCCTGGCTTGGAAACTCCCACACACCAAGTGAGAGCCCAGTTTTCCAGATGAGGAAACACAGAGGTCACAGAGATGAAGACTTACCCCTAAGCCACTAAACAGCCCAGCAGCAGGGCCAGTGCCAGCCTGTTCTGCTACAGGACGCCTCCTCTCCCAAGCAGGGGCTTTAGACCCATTTTACAGATGAGGAAAGAGAGTCTGGGAAAGGGGATGCCAACTGCTGTCTGAAGCCACTGAGGGAGAGTTGGGGACAGGAGACGGGGCAGTGTGGTGAGGGGTGGGGGTAGCCGCACCTGTAGGATCCTGAGATGACCCTCTCGCTGTCCAGCAGCACAAACTTTTCTCGCATGTTGCCGCTCACCTGCCGACACCAACGGCTCTGGAAACTGCAGCCCCGCACGACTCGGATGTCCAGGTTCTGGGGTGGGGGAGGCAAGCCTTTTGCTCAGGCCGACCCCCCAGACCTCCACCCAGTGCCGAGGGCTCAGGATCCCTATAGGCTGGTCCTACCTAAGTGGCCCATGACTCTCTGGAAGGTTCTGTCCCAGCTTCTCCAGGGCCTCAGGGGTCTGTTGCAGATATTCCTGACTCAGAGGGGCCCCATGAGAAGGTTGACCCCGGTTTCCCCCCCTGTCATGGGCATCACATCTCAGGGGACTCTCTCAGCTGGCATCCACCTCGATGACCCAGGACCCCATGGAAGGGTCTTCACCTGATGCTCCCAGTGCCAGGGCATTGGGGACTCAGGGGTCCCTCCTGCCAGGCCCCTACCTCAGTGGCCCAGGGGTTCACCCCCAGTTGCTGGGCCAGAATCAGGAAGGCAGGCAGCTGCTGATGGTCTAGGAGCAGGTAGACGGGCACCCAGCGGCGTGTGGCAGCATCCACCAGGTCCGAAAGCAGGTCTGGGTCAGTGAAGATGTCCATGACCACGGCCACCAGCTGAGGGTGGGGAGAGGGGCTGTGGGTGGAGCCTAGGGCTTAGGGGGACATTCAGAGGGTGAGGTGCTCTGGAGAGTTTAAGGGCCCAGTCTCCATGGGATATTCAGGGAGCCTGAGGGGGAGACCCCCCCCAGACATGCACTATGTTCATGCAGCGCCTATCTGTGAATGAGAAGAAAACAGCCCTTCCTCAGGACCCACACCTCTAACTGCTTGAAAACTGTTATCATAAATCACACGTCTGCAACGGTATCCCTTGAGCTGTGACACCACTACATGGCTGCCCTGCTCCAGAGGTCAGTGGTCTGGAGGCCCTTGCAGGGCACTGTGGGCAGCTGCCCACCTGGGTCCTCGGGAGGGATAACCTGCCGGGCCACCAAGGCGAGCTCTGGGGACTGGGGGGTGCTGAAGGCCTGGATCTTGCAGACGGAAAAAGGTAGTGGTGATGAACCCTGACTCACTGGCCAGACAGCCTTGGTTCAGATCCCCACTCGGCCACGTACAGGCAAGAGACAATCTGCCATGCCTCAGTTTCCCTATCTCCTCAATGGGTACAGTAAGTCTCAACCTCACAGGGTCCTCCTGAGGATTAGGCAGGTTAATTCATATAAAGCACTTAGCATGGGAGCAGTAACAGAAAAACTGTTAAAGAATGGGGGGGACTTCCCTGGTGGCGCAGTGGTTAAGAATCGCCTGCCAATGCAGGGGACACGGGTTCGAGCCCTGGTCTGGGAAGAGCCCACATGCGGCAGAGCAACTAAGCCCGTGCACCACAACTACTGAGTCTGTGCTCTAGAGCCCGCGAGCCACAACTGCTGAGCTCACATGCCACAACTACTGAAGCCCGCGCACCTAGAGCCCGTGCTCCTCAACAAGAGAAGCCACTGCAATGAGAAGCCCGCGCACCACAACAGAGTAGCCCCCGCTCACCGCAACTAGAGAAAGCCCGCGTGCAGCAACGAAGACCCAACGCAGTTGAAAATAAAATTAAATAAATAAATAAAATATGTAACTAAACTGCTAAAAAAAAAAAAAAAGAAAAGTGCTGTCCAGGGAGTGCTGCAGGGGAGACATCTGGGCCCTCCCCGAAAGGAGGATGGAGACCGCCACCCTGGTGGTGGAGGTCGTAGAGGAGATGACTGAGACTAGGGGTGTCATAAGTAGGTCCAAGGGCCATGGATGCCTAAGGCACCCAGGTCCTGGGGAGAAGGTGGGACCTCCCCCCATATGTAAGAGGGAGAGGATGAGATCTGGGGGGTATGGGTGCCCAAGTCCTGGGGGCTGGGAGGTATGGATTCCTGGGTTCCAGGGATGTGGACACACAAGTTCCAGGAGGGCACAGCTCAGAATGCCTGGCTCCCAAGTGATGTGTACTCACTCCCATATCTGGGGGCTGGCATGTGAGGATGACTGGGTCTGAGGAAGGGACACTAGGCCCTTGAGGCCCCCACCTTGTGGGCGGCCTGGATTTCCTGGCGCACCAGCTCCTTGAGGGACGGTTGGCCCTCGCCAGGTGGCTGGGTGTACAGCTGTGCCCAGGTGATACCCTTCCAGGCTGAGTCCTCCGGCCAGCCCAGCCGCAGCGCGGGCACCGGCTCCTCTGACTGTCCAGGCCAGTAGGTCAGGCTGCCCAAGTCCCCATCGGTGGCGGTGGCTCCCTCTGCTGCCCTGCTAGGCTCCTGCTTCGCTGCTGTCCAGTCCTCAGCCGCTGCCACCAGGCCCCGGAGCTCATCTCCACTCAGGAAGGGCCGCAGCCCCTCGCGCTGCACGCAGGCCTCAAATGCCTCTGCGCCCCGGCTCAGCAGAGCCTCCAGCGCCAGCCTCTGGCCCTCGGAATACAGGAAGCTGGGAGCGGCCTCGGTCAGGGGCAGCTGCCCGGCCCCTGACTCCATTCCTCCCAGTGCTGCCAGCTGGGAGGCTGCCATCAGGCCGTTCAGGTGGGAGGATGGAGAGGCTGGATGTCCAAGGGCTTGGCCGTCTCTGGGCACTGAGCATCTGGGGGTCTCCCGACAGAGTCTGTGTGGCTGTGCAAGACAGGACAGCCCTAAGTCCAAATGGCTCCCTGCACTGTCCCTGGCTTGCCGTCCTGATAATCAGACTGCCCAAGTGACTAACCACCAGGTGCGTGGCTCTGCTCAGACCAACAGCCCACCGGCCATCTGAGCTTCCTGCCAGCCTCTGATGGTCTGGATGAGCCTATGACTGGCCCTGCGTGTTGGTCAGGCTGACCACCTGACACTGTCTCCAACTGTGCGATCCATCAGCTGCCCATCTCTGCTCCCCGACACACCAGCCACCTCCAGCCCGCTGGCTACATGATGCCCCAATTGACCCTTCGGCTGGCTCAGGCTGACTTCCCCATCTTCAGGCAACAGGCTGTCTGCCCGTCTCTGAGCACCCAAATGTCCCTAACTAAAGGCAGAGTGAGATGCTTGTTTGTCCCTGGCAGACAGCACATCTAACTGACCCTCTCTGGCTGTCTCTTTGTCTGGAAGACACCGATTGCTTCCAACTGACACTCAGTATCTGACCGCCGAGTGGGGCACCCAGCTGGCTCCGTTAGAACCGGTTTCTCCCCACAACCAGCTGGTTGGCTCACCAGCTCTCACTGGCTGACCATCCCGGAAGCCTTCTCTTTGAATCTCTCCTCTCAGCCTTGGAAGAATGCACTCCAGCCCTAAACCTCGGCATCACCTTCCCCAGCTGGGGAACTAGGTCTGTCTCCTCTGCCGGTTGAGGACTCTGCTTCCTGAGCATTCACACCCACTCAGGCTGCTGCAGTGGTGGATGCCCTCTACAGACGGTTTGATTATCAAGGAACCAGCCCATCTAGATTGAGGGGCCGGGCCGACTAACTAGCCACAGTTCCTCAGACTGCTGCCCCTGCCTGTCTCCTGGGCCACTGGGTTGTTTCTGGCTGTCCTCTAATCAATGCTGACTCCAGCCTGGATTTCTGCCTTAATCCCACTATCTCCTGCTATCGGACCATCCACTTATTCCTAGACAAGGAACACCCTGCGTCTCTCCCTCCCAAGCTGCCCCTTTGAGGATCCTGACCCTGCTTCTGGTGGGTGGACCCCTGATCCCTGCCAACAAGCAGCCCTCCTTCCAATCCCAGCACCCAGTCTGCTCCCTTTCTCCAGAGCACAGCGACCAGCCCTGCAAAGAGAAGGAAGGGGAATAAAGCCAGGCCACTCCCTCTCCCTCCTGCCCTCCCCAGACCCCCCCCCCCATTGCATCCAGGTCTCCAACCCCTACCCCTCCTTCTCTTGCCTTTTCAGAGAACAGTCAGATCAAGGGCCTGGAGACCTCCTTTTATTTCTGCGGCTCTTCCAGCCGCCTCGCCTTATTCACCGGGTTTCTTCCCGGGATCCGGGGACCACGGCCCCTTGTGCAGACACAGGGGTAGGGCTGACACAGGTCCCTGGAGGCAGAGGACAGTAAGGTCCCAGCTCCAGGAACACACTCAACAGGCTTCGCCCAGGGACTGGCGGCCTGCCTGACTCAAGCTTCGGGGGAGGGGGAGCGTATCACCTATTCCCACATGCCCCCTCCCCCACAGCGGCCCGCCCCATTTATAACTTCCCGGTCCGAGCCCTGCCAGCCATCCCGAGCGCAGAGATCCGGGAGGGGAGCGCGGTTCCTTTAATAAGGGCAGGCGCGGCTAACTCGGTTCCTTTAGTAAGAGCAGGCGCGGCTAACTCGAAAAGCAGGTGCTTCACCACACACCTGGGAAAGAGCTGGGGCTTGCCAACGGTGAAGCGAGGTCCAAGGGGGCCAACAGGCTTAGGGCAGTCACCACACACACCTGGGACCGTAGGCTCCATCCCCCAGCACAGCAGAAGGGGCTCACCCCAAAGGCTGGTCTCCCCAGAAAGGGGCGTGGCAACCATTCCCCCAAACAAAGGCGTGTTCCGACCCTCTCCCTCCCCCTACCCCGTTCCCCAATAACGCACAAAAGGCCATTAGCAACCAAAATCTTTTTAATAACAAGGTAGGATCTGGGGTTAGTTCTTGTAGCCACGGCTGGCCCGTCGGCCTCTGGCGCGCTCGAACTTCCGGCCCTTGGAGCGTACGTAGGGTCTGCAGGGAGAGGAGGGAGGGTGAGAAGAGGCACATGTTACAGACAAGTGAGGGACGCCACCGCCACCTGTCTGGCTGGGAGCTCAGAAGAGAGCTGCTTGCTCTAACAGAGGAGCACAGGGACACCAGAAGGGGGTCTCACTCAACACAAACAGCGTCAGTGGGGACACCAAGTCCGCTGCTGGAAAAGCCTGGCAGCGCAGGAAGCGAAACTGGCAGGAGTGGCTGCTGAAGCGCCTGTGCTAGGTAGGCCCCAGGGCCATCCACCTGGGCGCCCCGGCACTGGACAGAATGCAGGCCCCACCAGAAAGACGGGGACAGGCCCTGGGAGGCCTGCATCTGTGACGCTGGCTGTCCAGGGAGCTCAACACCCGAGGAACAGAACTTTAGGCAGTCTTGAAAGAAAAGCGGGTAAGAGGGTGGGGGAATTCTAGAAAGACCTGAGGCCGGACTAGTGGGAGAAACAGAAGCAGCTGGAAGCGTGGCAACGCCTACACCTGCAGGCTGGGGTCCAGGGATAGGTATACTCACTTGGTGTGGCTATGTGGGGTTCCTGGGGCCTTGCCGAAATGCCTGTACACCTCTCGGCCCTTGCGAGGACCTGGGGAAGGGAAGGAAGCGGTGGCTCAGGCTGATCTGGGGTGGGGTGGGAGTGTCACTGACCTCCCAGGCCTGGGAAGGTAAAGGCTGCTAGCAGTCCCACAGCTCATGACAGACCCCTCACACACCCCTAACCCCTCAAGCCACTAAGCACCACTCACCAGACAGGAGGACAGTGCCACAGCCCTTAGGGGAGTCCAGCGCCAACTGGTCGAAGGTGAGGATCTTGCCCCCGGCCTTGAGGATGCGGCTCCGGGCGCGGCTGCTCACTCGAAGAGCACACACCTGGAGGACACAGAGGACAGGTGTGGCCAGAGCCCCCTGGATGGCGACCCAGGGGCTGCTGGGACTTCCTGTCCACTGCCCAGGCCCAGCAGAGGAGTCCCAGCTGCTTCCTCGGCCTGATCACCAACACCACCAACTACTGAAGGCAGCTTCCTGAGTTCACAACAGCTATTCTTACCACTTTACTTCTAGAAACCCCTTTAACACCGCAACCTGAAACTATTACGTGTAAGGAAACTGAGGCACAAAGAAATCCAAGACTTTGTCCAGAGATAACAAAGTGGCAGAGAAATCCAAGTCTGAACTCTGGCTGTCTGGGTCCAGAGCGAGCGCCATCAGCCGGGCCCCAGAATGGGCTTGTCCAGGGATACCCGCCGTCAACAATGTGAGGGACAACCCCTCACTTCAACCCAGGCACGACGCCTGCCTCACCCAGAGGTGAGATGAGCCTGCCGGCGGCACAAGAAATTGAGCTGGGTCCATAGGACCTCACCGTGACCCACCCAACACACTCCTGAGCCCCCTCCCCACTCACCTTCAGTTTGGGCACCTCCTGGACACGCACATCATCCGTTATAGTCCCTACCACCACAGCCGTTTTGCCCTCCCGGCCAGGAAGCTTCATCTTCCGAATCTGGGCGGGGGGGGGGGGGGGGGGGGGGGGGGGATGAAATGCACATTAAACAAGTCCCTTCTGGTGGTTAAATCCAATCCCACCCATTCAGGCATCCCAAGGACCAACAGTTGTGTCCCGTTTGGGCTAAACCTACCCATGCCACACCTCTCAAGCTAGCACAAGCCTAATCTCAGGTCCAGTCTGGGAAAATCTCCAAAGAAAATACAGATTCTTCCACGGTTCTCTCCTACAGAAAGCTTCTGACACAGAAGATGCTCTATAACTTGAAACCTCAGGAAGATCTCATAAAGCCACTGTAACCCACCCCCAGACACACACAATGAGAAGGAAAATGAGATCAAGAGGCCAAGCCAGTCCAATGCCCCCATGATTCAGCTACAATCAGAGGGTCAGAGCTCTGCACCCACCAATGGATGAGGTTAAGCCAGCTGATAGCCAGGCTGCTACCAGAGAGCTCCAAGCCCGCCCTTCCACCCGAAGTCCAGCTCCAGACACGATCCAGTCGCTCCCCAGGCTGGCTATGCCCTCTGCCTCAGCCCCTCACCATCCGGGAAAGGGACAGAGGTGGCCGGTTGCTGCGACTCATGAACAACCTCTTCAGCACAACTTGATTGAAGGTGGAGTTGGTTCGCCTGGCCAGAAACCTGTACAGCTGGAGGGGAAGGAAAACGAAAATGAAACCCGGGGCAGCCCACCCGGACCCCTCCCTCCCTCCCTCTCAGCTTTCTAACGAAGGGGCAAAGAAGTGACTTAGGGCTTTGCCCCATCCCGTTAAGCCCACGGGAGAGAGGTGGCCTAGGTCCCTCCTGGCCAGGGACCCAGAAAATCCCCCTCCCCAGCGGTAAACCAGCCCAGAGGCTGAAAACACTGGAGTCTCCAAAAGCTAAGGGAAAGCAGCAGAGATTCGAGCCTGCCCTGGAGGCCCCTGCAAGGAGCCCGGGACCAATACCAGCATGGAGGCCCTAGAACTTGTATTGGTATCTCCAGGGTGGCCTTGCCTTGGGGTCTTAGGCCCCAACCTCACCTTGACCAACAGCCTTAAGTAGATGTCCTGGCTCTTGGGCTCCTTGCGTCGAACCTTTCGGTCCTTGTTGTGGCGGATGTCAACTCCCTGCAGGGGTGAAGGGAAGACCATGAACCCAACTCTGATCTGGCAGATTCCTCACCCCATAAACATTGTTATTCCTCACCTCTAAGAAACAGCTAAAGACCCAGTCTCTGGAGACAACAAATCCCAGACCACCACTGGGAGCCCTCTGGGAAAATACTTAAAACTCCCTGGGCCTCAAGTGACTTTGTTTTAAAAAAAAAGGAGAGGGAAGCCTAATTCTACACAAAAAGCCTTCAACTCATGGCACACAGCACCGTGAAAGACCTTAACACAGCAGCCGCGTTAACTCAAGTTTTTACTTTTTTAGAAGCTGTATTTTTCAACAATATAAGTATCATTTAAGCTCCCAAACCTTGCTCCCATGCGTGGAGCGTTATCAAAAACATTTAAACCAAGGGCAGACTCCAAGTTCTTATAAAGGAAACGACCCTTTTTTCTAGAACTTACTCTGCACAGACCAGCCCTAGAACGACCTCCTTATGAAGCACAGCTTCCCACAGTAGTGCTAAGACTGAAGGGAGCCCACGATTTCCACTACACCCCCTGCCTGCTTTCCTCCAAGTTTTCAGGCTGTGTCATAAGTTATAAAGAACTACCTAATTATTAATTGTTCTCATTTATCCAGCACTTAATGTACGCAGGGACCCGTGGTGAGCACTTCCTCTGACTTATTTCTTCTCGAACTCACATCTTTGAGGCATAATTACTGGGTCTCCAATTAACAGATGCTTTCTGCGCACAGGAATGATGATACGGTGGGTAGGGAATTGAGACTCGAACGGAAGCCTGCCTGGCCCCCACACCCGGGCACCGGACGCTTGACACCCCCCCCACCCCGCCCCAGAACCCAGCTTTTCAGGCTGGGGAGTGACGGATCCAGGGGCAGCACAGGCAAGAGTGGCTGTGGGAGCAGCGCCTGGGTCCGAATCCTGGCTCCGCCACTTACTGGCACTGTGACCCCGGTCATATAACTTAACCTCCTTGCCCCTCGATTTGGTCATCTATTCGATGGGACCTATAATACAGGATTATGGGAGGGGCGGGAGGTTGAGAACGCCCATCCCTGGTCTTCGGGCTCCCAAAATAGCTCCCCACAGCGGGAGTCACCTCCTTCGAACACCCCCGAACCCCTGCCTCACTCTGGAACGTCCCCAGCGCGAGAAGCCGGCAGATGGCAGCGGATGATCAAGCCCCGAACGCCGCAAAACGCGCTCACCATGATGGCGCCTCCTCCTTAGGCAGGTCCGGAAAGAGAGAACAGAACCAGGATGGGCGGGGAAAGCCTTCAGCGAGTGGCGCCTACGTGACGTCACATGGGCGCGATGCGGCGCTCTACCTTGACTCGTGTCTCTCTATGGTGAATAGGAGGACCAGCTAGATGGGCGATTCCGGAATTGGGTGGAGGACCATCTAAAGGGGACCAAGCGCTACGCCAAGAAGGGGAGGGCCAGCACGTCGGAGGCCTCTCTGGTCCTATCCAGTCCCTGGTCTTGATAGTCTTCCGGCAGAAGGGGATCTCGGAGCCAGAGAGATGTCGCGCGGAGCTAGGAAGACGTGGCGTGCGGTGACGCTCTGGCCCGACGCCGAAGGCCTCTCTGTGGCTCCCGGAGGACCTAGAGGGCCGAGTATTGGAGGTGAGGAGGCGGGGCTGGCGGAGCTAGTCGGGACCTCGCGAAACCTCTGACCTCAGGCTTTGGGCGTTTCCTTATCAGGCCCACATCTGCCTTATCTCGTGCTGCGCTTCCCAGGTGCGGCCGCAGCTCGGGAAGTCTTACTTGAGGTCTAACCCGAGATCTTCTTGCTGCAGCCCAGTCTATGGCATTCTGTATTTCCACCTTTTAGGTTCAGCTTCTCCCTCTGCCCCCAGATGGCCCTTCCCTGAACCCTACTCAGCCCCTGCCACCTGGAGGCTGCTTTTCCCAGCCGAGAGATTCAAGTGGCCCAGCGGGTTCGGTTTGAGGGACGTGCAAGGTACTGGAGCACAGAGGAGGCAAGCTGAGGCCCCCGGGGCTTGGGGGATGGGGTGGAGAGAGGGATGAGTAAAAAACTCCTGAAAGAGTGGGGAGGAGAGACTCAGAGAGAGGGAGACAGAGATTCAAAGAGGAGGAGGAATGGAGACCTAGAAGGGGAGTGGAAAGAGACCAAGGGTGGCGAAATGGTGACCCGGGGAGTTAGAAGACCTAGAAAGAGAGGGAAGGTGGAGATCCAAGGAGGAGAAAGAAAGATGGTGATACCATCTGTAACCGAATTCAATTCTTGGCTTTGCTACTTACTAATGGTGTGACCTTGGGCAACCTCTCTGTGATTTGGGGCAAGTCGTGTAACTTCTCTGTGCCTTACTTTCCTTATCTGCAAAAAGGGGCGTCTATTGCTGTTATTAGTCTTTACTGGATGGGACCAGATGGACTGGTTGGGGCAGTGATGAAGCTGACTTGTCCACTCATTTTCGTGGAAGCCCAGTAGCACTGCTAGCTTGGCCTCCTTTCCTCTGCCCTTCATGTTCCTACAGGCCAGGCCTGCACCATGAGGCCTGACTCCTTGTCCATACCACCTTCCCATGGCCTCCGACCCAGGGCCAGGGTCTTACTGATGTGATAACACAGCAGAGGGCCTGCAGATGAATGGACACCTTGAAGCAGAGGAGCAGCAGGACCAGGTAAGGGTCCATCTGAAAGTCCAGATCACCATACAGTGGAACACAGTTTCCTTCTCTCCTCCTTGTCCCTGTTCCTTGGTCTTTGAGTCCCAGCCTCTTTGATTACTGTATCTGTCTTTCTTTCCCCTGGAGCCCTAAGCACACTCACTGTGTTTCCCTGTCTCTCCATCTTTCTGGGTTTCTGTCCCTCTCTCTGGGTTATTTTTTGGCACATGTTATCTGGTGCTGTTGCTGTTCTCAGTTGAACACTAGGTACATTGATTGGTCACCTGATATTATTCTTGCCTTGATTTCTTTCAATTTCATCGTGTCTTTGCCTCTCTGTATCTCTGTCAACATCTTTGCTTTCTGTCTCTTGGCTTCAGTTCCTCTCAGCCTCTAACATTCTCTCTGTCCCTCACCCCTGACCTAGAGGTCTCTCTCAGATACTCCCAGTCTCTCTCCTGAGTCTCCGTCTTACCATGTAACTGGGTCATTCACTGGGCAGATATTTATGTCATGCTGCCCCCACGCTAGCTTGTGCCCAAGGTAAATAGTTTGTGAATTAATGAGCCTCTCCTCCCTGGTTTTCATTCTGAAAGTGTCTGCCCCCATGTCTCGCTGTGTCCATCATTTTCTGGGTTTTCTTATGTCCTTACCTTACACAGTTTTTAAAATCTATTATTTATTTTATTTATTTATTATTTTTGGCTGCGTTGGATCTTCGTTCCGTGGGCTTTCTCTAGTTGCCGCGAGGCATGTGGAACCCATGGCTCGAACCCATGTCCCCTGCATCGGCAGGCGGATTCTTAACCACTGCGCCACCAGGGAAGCCCACCTTGCACATTCTTAATTCCATTGTCTTTGTCTCTTTGTTTGTATCTCTGCTTTTCTTTATGTCTATCTCTCTGACTCTCTGTAACTGTCTGAAAAAGAGACAACACTCTCTCTTCAAGTCTCTTATTGCCTCTGACTCTGGTTCACTGTTCCCTTTTACTGTTTTTGCATATCTCTGGGTCTTTGTTATCTGTGTTAGGGTCATTCTCTATCTGCAGTTAAAGACCTTTTCCCCCTTGCCCCTTCTCTAGAAAGTCAAAGGATGGGAGAGGCCCACTTGCCCTCAACAAAGATGGCGACATGGGCTCTGGCCATGTTTCCGTGAAGCCGCCTCTGCTGCGCGTGTGCCCTCACCTACAATGGCGGCTGATCTCGCGAAGCGCGCTACCCCGCCCAGTTCTCAAGCTCTCCCGCGGCAGGCCCCTGCGCCAAGCTCGCGACTCTGCTGGCCCCGCCCCCGAACGCTCTTATTGGTGCAACTTAGGCCGGCCGCGCGGCCATTGGCTGAGCGGATGCACACCCTCCGCCCCCACCCCTGGGTCTGATGGGGGCAGTTGGTGCTGACTTGAGTGGCCGCCTGGAGGAGGATCCGGCGTGTGAGGAGGGTCTGGGGTGTCGGGACAGGGACCCGAGTCAGGACGAGGGAGCAAGAGGAACAGATACGCAGGCCCGGGACTTGGGTACTAGGGGTGTGGGATGGAGATGGAGAACCAGAACCAGGACTGAGGGATCCAGGAATGAAAACCCTGGTCTGGAACTGGGTTCTGGAAGTGGGGTGGGGATGGAGGGCCGGGACCCGGGGAACAGGAGACAGAGACTCAGGCTTATGGATTGGGGGACCTATGGATGGAGACCCAGGCCCTGGTCTGGGGTACATGGAGGGTGGAGAAAATGAAGACCAGGCCAGAGACCTGGGGACCTAGGGACCAAGGCGCAGGCCCCAGGACTGGGGGAGATCTAGGGCTCTAAGTGTGTGTGGGGGAGTCAATGCAAGTTTAAGGGTGGGGCTTGAAGAGCTGCCCAGGGTAGGGGGCAGAGGTGGCTCCAGAGAGTGAGTCCACAGATGGGGGTGTGTCTGGGGCAGTTCTGCGCCTGGGGAAGGTGAGGGGCAGGACTGATAGGTGACTGGGTGGGCGGGGCAGTGGGGAACAAAGGTGAGCTGGAAGGAGGAGGCAGAAGCTGGGCAGAGGGCAGGGGGAGGGGACCTCAGGCCCAGCTCCCACTCTCTCCCTGGAGAGCAGGCGGCCAGACACCCAGGTCAGTGCTTGAGGTCCAGCTCTTGGCTCCTTTCCCTTGCAGGTGCCTGCATGTGGCTCCTCTACCTCTCTGACAACTTAGTTGCTCCATGTCACACCCCCTTCTCAGTTTCTCCAGCTACTACATCCCCTACCTCTTGCCTCTCCTGTCTGCTCTTTCTCTCCTAACTCTGTTGTCTGACTCTCAGAGGGCCTCTGGAGCCCCTAAACTCTCACTCTGCTCCCTAAGTATCTTTCATTATACTAGGTTTCATCTCACTGAAGCTGTTTGTCTCCTCTCAGTGTTTCTCTGGCTCTCAGACCTTTTTCTTTGTGTCTGAGTGCCTCTTCCTTGTTACTTTCTCCATCTGGAGTTGACTCTGTGTGTGTGTGTGTGTGTGTGTGTGTGTGTGTGTGTGTGTGTGTGTGTGTGTGTGTGTGTGTTTTGGTGTGTTTTT